GAAAGAGCTGCCGAGCATAAAACAATTTATACACTGGATGAATGGAAATTGTATGTTGGGATAAAGTAACAGGTGATTCTTATGAAGTCATAGACGTAAATCAGTCGTTAGTGTTTGATTTTAAAGAACAGCTAACAATAAAGTAAATTTGACAGGGATAAAAGAAGTTTGTGTCGATAGGACTCAGAGCAATAAAATCCGGTACAAATATGCTTTATCTGATGATTACATGACCATAGTACTTTGAAAGGAGACTAGAAATTAAAATACTCCAATCATACAAAAAGCTTAGGCGGGACCAATTCCTATCAGTAATGATAAATATAAGGATCTTATTAGTCTTTACGATTCCTTAATAATACCTGTCAAATACCATAACTATTTGAGAAGTTTACCTAACGGACGAAACGTTTCTGACGAGGATGGCAATGAATCTAACTGAATAATAGTCCAATAGAATTGTTATATACTTTTTGATTATTTAGTACTATTTCTAGTTACTTAGTTGCTACTATTTTGATTTCAGAATTTATGATTTTTAAGATTTATTCATTTTAATTAATGTCGTTACAACACTATTTAAATACTAATAAAAATTATTGTGATACTAGAGTTTTCTTAATAAATAATTAGTGATTAAGTTTTAGATTAGTTATTAACCAAAAAAGAAGTAATCAGGACAAATGGCTTCAACATTATAGTTTTCTTAATAATAATTCTATTGATAATTACATAATTTAAGCTTAATGTTTATTATATTGATTAAAAATAGTCCAATGACCAGACTAAATATGTGTTTTATTTAAGATACCTACCTACCCCAACCTACCTATTTACATACCAACCACTTACCTACCTACTTACTTATGGTCAAAATAGAATATGATAAATAACACATCCGCCAAAATATTACTCAGTAAGTCCATAGAACATAATCGGAAAGTAACATGCGTCATTCTTCGAAACGAAACTTTCCGACGAACAATGTCGGATAATACTATGCGACTGTGTTGACTCCGACGTAAAAAGAAGCATGTGATTTTTCTGGAAAACCGTATAATTATAAGTTGTTATTTTTATTTCATTTTAACACAATCCCTATTTTTTAATTGTATGCCAATTTTCATAATTATAAATTTAGAATTAAAAAAGTTATGTCAAAAAAACCAACACTGATATTTGAAATGGCTGCCCTGTAAAGTTTAATATTTGTCAGATCCGACAGTATTCTACGACTATGACGATATATACATTAGAATAACAGGCTATAAATTTCACATGGGTAAATCCGCGGGTACAGCTAGTCATGTATCTGTCATCCATTTGTCTGCATTATTATTTAAATATAACGACATGTCTCAACTCCGCTACATATGTAATTATATTTAGAGACTTCTTTCTACTTCCTCTTCTCGATAAGAGACATTTTTATTATACATGTAGTTATTTTCTGATAATGTAACTTTTAGTAGGTGAAATATTTTTTTAGTTATATCATACGAGAAAACCTAAAATCTTACATCTTTTTAATATTACTTTAAATACTTAAATATATGCTCACAATGTCGTTTCAGTTGCAAAATCTAAATCAATTATTGAATAATTATATCTTATTAATTTTTCTTCTTCTTGTATTGTCCTATTTCATATAACCCTCCAAATTTTGCGGCGTTAGGACAATCTGGCCTGGGTTGTCGTGTTAGGCAATTTTTCCATACCGATAAGATTACTTGTAGACAACCACAAGTTGGTTGGTAGCTTTTTTGACCACATATTTCTCATCACTTCGTAACAACATAATTATTCAATTCAGTAAAAAAATAATATATAAATATATCTTCAAGACTGTTATTCCAGATGGGGCAGTCAGAAGCACAATTCGCTGAAAATATTTGTAATTCAGCGTGGCAGGGGTAAAACATCTGTATATCCATCAGAATAGTAGTTAAAAATATAATTTGATACAAAGTTTTTATTTCGGTGTCAGCTAAGATGGCAAATCACGACCTTCTCAACGCTAGATATTTCTATTAAATATATAACTACGTCTTTAATTGCATATTGTATAATATAAATAATAAATCAACTACTGCCATAGCAGAAAACGGGTTGGAATCACAAACAATAACTCCATAAGAAACAGCGTGCCCGAATAAAGGCATAAGCGTCCAGAGTTAACCCGTCACATGCCATCGTTATTTTTTTCGTCACTTCCCGCCGTAAAACCCTCAATGCATACAAAAAACTTCATTTTCAATATCGACAGGCACCAATATCTCCTCGGGGGTTCGGTATACGTAGCTCTAAAACATATTTTACGGGTACACTGTACCCTCAGATCGCGAAGTAGACCACGAGCCAGAAGCAGATTTTCATGACCAAGTTTCTTTCGGAAGAAAACTCGTAAAATGCGTTAGGGATTTGTATTATGAGTTTCGAACCTCAGTTGTCGTTCCATGGTTGGATTGAATAGCATATTCAGGATTTCAGTGACAATTTTATCTGCGAGATATAGGCAACTGACTTTTTATTGATTAAAAATTGCATGTATTCTAAATTCTTATAAATTTTCAATTGATTTGAAATCATTGAATATACATATATAGGTATATATATATTTCAAAACCCATTATTTTATTAATTTTCAACAGAAAATGAGTTATTAAAATATCCTATTTTCCTATGTCCATACTACTTAACTCATCCACGGATGTACGTCAGCTACTGGCATCCACAAAACTTTATGATACAACTTCCTGAAGCATTTTAAGAGTTTGGACTCTAAAATGTCCATGTTTGGTTGAAATGATTGACGACATTCGTCCCTGGCTCTTGCACTAAAGGGTCATACGGTAGTTTACGGCTCGACTATCGCGTTAACCGAGTCTGGATGGCCTAATTCGTAAGGTTTCGGACGAATCGAAGCTATAAATTCCTTGCTATAATAGTGGAATGTTAGTAAAAGATCCCTTCGCTGTGTATTCCGGCATCGGATCATAAAAGTAACATATGCCCCTCGATCCAATTTTGAGTTTTGATGTGTGTGCAATTTGGCTCGTTTTCAATTAAATTTCAGTTTCACATTTAGTATTAAAGTCAAAAGCATTGATTCAAATAGAATTTTATGATTTGGTACTTTGTATTTACAGAAATTTAAAAATATCAGTTTTAACGTCTGTGGTTTTATGTTTAGTGTAACAACCTGTTTAAAAATAAATATAAATTACCTACTAACTAACTAACTATCTCACTTCTACTTCATACAGCTGTAAGTAATGTAGAGATCTATAGTTTTGTAGAGATAAATTGAGTACTACCCAATGTCATTTGCTGGTAAACAAGTTCAGTATTTTTTTATACATATCCATTATAATAAAAAAAAATTATATATATAATATTAGATTAGATAGACGAAAAGGTTTTTTTAAGTAAGCTTGTTAATGCTATATCTGCGGAAATTGAATCCGCGACCATCGATAAGTTTGTCATCTAATAATATTTTCTAAGTTTATTACTAGTTATAGACATGAACGGCAAAGTAATCATAGGAAACGAACAGTCCCTGTGCATCAATAACTGTCTACCGAATGTTTATTATATCAGTATTATTTTATAGCGTTTATTCCCTAAGGGGTAATTTTTGGTACAACCCTCATACTATTTACGAGTAATGGGCTTAGAAGCTATCGTACGGTTAAATTTATATGAACTCCGCAAAGATTTTGACTTCGTAGACAATGAATTTGGCACAAGCTCAATATTGTACTTGTTACTATATTTTCCCTTAGAAAATATACCTACATGTATTGAATATCGACGAACTTGATGGTCTAGTGTTGAAGTATAACGCCTTGGTAGTCGCGGATTCGATTCCTCGTATCGTAAACTATATTTGTGAGTACAATTGTTTGTATAGATCTAGGAGTTTTATGTATAATATTACGTGTTTACTTACAAAAGAATCTATTTAAGTATCGTTATCAGTTTTATACTCATACCCCAAGTAGTACCCATAACACTATACCATAGTTCCAATGGTTGCGGGTTTCATTTCTGGCGCGGTGTTAATACTTCGTATTTATGAGTATTATTTTTTTATTGGTCTGGGTGTTTTCTATGTGTACTAAGTATGTATTTAAAGATTTGTAACTTGTCTACTCACACACCAGTAGTACCTATAACACAAGCTCTGCTTAGCTTGGTATTAGTCACATGACAACATAATATCCATTGTGCTATGCATAGTCGACCGTCAGTTTGATTGCCGTTCCAGTGATAAAAAATACTATAATCTTCATACAGTCTCATAAGGAATACTAGATATGGGACACAGTTACCTAGTTACATCAATATACTAATTGCAATTAATTATGGCTGGTAAGACAAACTCTATGTTTGTCTACTAAGCACTGCCGTGTCAAAATTGTGTCACCCCACCTTACATTTTCCTATTGCTATTTAGTATATTAGATCAATATTTTTATGTACTTTTGTCAGTCTATTATCATCTGTCCGTTAGCGCAGGCGGGTGAACGATTCCATTATCATTCATTTAAATATACATCGTCTCCACCGACAACATCGTATTATTACTAGAACGTTTTGTTAAATTGTGGCATTTCATGTAATATGTCAGTTGATATTTTTATATCTAAAGGAAGTTGTGTCTATTTAGAAATTATATTTATCAGGCAAAAACAACTGTTTCACATGATATAACATCTTATTTGATATATTTGCGTGACTCATACGAAGTTTATTCTTTATTATATAATGTAATATGATTTTGTAAAATATATTTAAGTATGTTATTATGTTGTCAGAGTAATATTAAAAAATATACCTTCACGACTTTCATCCTAGAGGAGTGAGTCAGAGATATTTATGCAGACGACGCCGATATGAAGCTCTATATAATATGAATTCAAAACGTTTGCAAAAATAAATATTTCAGAATAATATTACAAAATGATTTTAAACTTCTATTATATTTGTTTCAGATTTTTATTATAATAGAAACTACAACCAAAATGTTTGATAGCAATCTATTAGACTACAGCACTATAGTAACGCAAGGTATGGTGGTAGCTCCCCATCACCTAGCAGCTCAAACCGCACTTGCTATATTAAGAGAAGGTGGAACTGCTGTAGAAGCGATAGTTGCAGCTGCTGCAACGATAGCCGTTGTTTATCCTCATATGAACAGCATTGGCGGTGATTCCTTATTTCTTATTGTTCCTCCTTCCGGAGAACCTGTAGTAATAGAAGGCATTGGCGCAGCTGGAAGCTTGGCTACTGAAAAATTTTATGAAGGATATAAAGAAATACCACGGAGAGGTCCAAAGGCAGCATTAACCGTAGCAGGAACTGTTGGTGGATGGCAAGAAGCATTGGATTACATTTCTGAAAATGGATATCAACCGATGTCTACAACAAGATTACTAGCTGACGCTATTAAATATGCAGAAGAAGGATTTCCAGTGTCATCTTCTCATATATTTACATTATCGGAATTCATCGAATCAAATAACGCCAGTGAAGAATTCAGTAAAGTCTTTCTTCCTAATGGAGAGGTACCAAATGTGGGTGAAATATTGTATCAAAAAAATCTTGCATCTACTTTGAGAAATTTGGCTGATAATGGCTTAAATAGTTTCTACCAGGGCAATTTAGCGGAGGCTATATCAGAGGAAATAGAATATTTAGGAATGCCTATTACAAGAGAAGATCTTGCGAAGTATTCTGCTATTAGAAAAACACCTCTACAGTTATCACATAAAAATGGACTTTTATTTAATACACCTCCACCAACAGTAGGTTTGTCGTCCTTGAGTATATTAGGACTCTTAGATAAACTGAATATCGATGGTCAACATGAAGGAAAATTTATTCATGCAGCAGTTGAAAGTACAAAACAGGCATTTGAATTAAGAGATGAATATATTACAGATCCACTTTACATGAACGTCACGCCAGAATCGTTACTAACCCCTGAAGCTATATCTAAAATGGCAGAAAACGTGAGTCTTGATAAAGCATCAAATATAAATAACGCAAAAGGTCCAGGGGATACAATTTGGATGGGGGCAATGGATAATAAAGGATTCTCTGTCTCATTTATTCAGAGTGTTTACTATGATTTTGGTAGCAGCGTCCTTCTACCAAAAACTGGAATTTTATGGCATAACAGAGGCGTTTCGTTTAGTCTAGAAAAGGATAACCTATTATATTTGAGTCCAGGTAAGAAACCTCTACATACTTTAAATCCTGCTGCCGCAAGATTGAATGATGGAAGAGTAGTAGTTTATGGAACACGCGGAGGTGATGGTCAACCTCAAACTCAGGCAGCCGTGTTTCATAGATACGTTGTTCAAGGTCTGAATTTACAAAAATCTGTGTCTACTCCAAGGTGGCTTTATGGAGATACTCTTGACAAACATATAAATACATTGAAGTTAGAGGACAGATTTGATGAAGAAACTGTGAACTATTTAAAAGAAATGGGTCATGATATTGAAATAATGCCTCCTTTTAGTGAAAAATTTGGTCATGCTGGAGCTCTTGTCAGACATCCTGATGGAAGGTTAGAAGGAGCTTTTGATCCTCGTGGTAATGGAATTGCTGCTGGATTTTAAACTGATCGAAAATATTAGATATTAACAATATAAAATGAGTCTAAAATAAAAAAAAATAAAACGAATAAAGTAAACATTATACATATGTAAAATAATAGAAGAATTTGTTATGAAAATTATAACTTAGAGGACATATTACGCTTAATTGTAGTCATTGTTATAATATCATTGAGAGTAACGATGTAGAAGAATACGAGTATTTATTATTATTTATGTTTAACATGATAAATAAATAATTATAATATTATTTTAAATACTACTTATGTTGCAATATATACTCGAATAATAGTTTCAAAGAAACAAATAAAATACTTTAATGTCTAACAATTTTTTATTGATATTATAATGGTAGTTGAATATCATAACAATATTAGACAGGTCTCATTTAGCAAAAATGGTGAATATTCACTGAAGATATTTATTACCACTGTCACTGACAAGACATATTGAAAAGATATTTTTCCTATAATTCCAAAGAAATCTTTACTGCCTTCAACAGAACATTGAAAAGAATTATTTTCAATTGAATTTATTATTAAAGCTTTATTTGTAAACTAGCTGTGCCTGCGACTTAGTTTGCGTCTGTCTATTTTAAATTTCAAAGTATGTATGTAGTTCTTTATTATTTCAAACTGAATATATAAAAATATAAAAACGATTATTATCAGCGACTCCATTTTCTTTTTTAGATATGTCATTCCTCGTGATACATCATACAACGTATCTTTATATAAAACTTCACTAAAATGTGAATGCATTTTAGTGATGTTTATTTAGAATTCCGACTAGGTAACAAACACAGACAGAACAGAACAGAATCTAACAGACAGGTTTTCGTATGTATCATACTAGTATGATTGAAATAAGTTAATCCGCAATACATATATTGTAAGCAAAGTACATAAATTTATTTAAATGTTACATAAGTTATACTTCATTTGGTCACTTCAATAAAATGAACGGTGAATAAAATGCAGAATTATGCGGATTTTCCTAAACTTTTCAACCGTGTAACTTCTTGTAATTCGAAAGTTATTCAAACTTTAAGAAGTGCACTGCTTTCAGTTATTAACTGGAATTGATTGCGAAGAAGTATGGGAGGTTAAAAATTAAAATGGTGAACGATTTTTAAATTAGACAATCTTTTTGAAATATACTCTGTGTTTCCTGAACATTGGTCGACAATAACTCACGTTTATTGGAAAGATAAGGCGGACAAAGAGCGTTCGGATGTAAATCAAAATCGGCCATTTTAGAGTCACATTGTTGCAGAACCTATAATGAAAAATACCTTAAAGGTATATATGTGATTAATTTATTTGGGTAAGTGGGAATTCCAAATAATAAAATAGGAAATTGAAACGTATACAAAATTTGATAAAGTATATTTATGTACCGTACATATTTTTATTCCTTTTCATTTACCATACCTATCGCTTAATTAATCTGTAATATATTAAATATCTTTAAAACGACTTAACCAAATTTATTTTATTTGCTTTGGAATACTTTGTTGAAAATTTTTAAGAAACGAATAATTAAAAAAATTCGTGAACTTGAAAAACCTTCATTTCTATTTTTATTTCGCGTATACACTATATACTATAATAACTGCACTGCCCTTTACTACCCTTTGAGTTTAGTGTAGTATGTATTCAGCAGTTATATAAATTATAACTGTTGAATTACATTGACCATTTGCCGACCGGTGACTAAATGGAATATTATATTGCATTTTGGATCAATGCTACATTAATTTATAAATAATTATGAAGCTTAATGCATTTACATACTAATAGCATTATTAATAACTTGTATAACTTAGGTATACAAGTTATTAATAATACATAGATTAATGTTAGTATTATTATATAGATAGATTAATGTTAGCTTCTATTTTGTATTTCCTCTTAAAAGCAAGGATTACTTTACTACATATTTCTGTAAAAAGAAAGTTGATAACATCGGATTTGATACCCTACAGAATATAATGTTGATCAGATAACAAATTCAAATTCAAATTCATTATTCATGGTCATGGTAAGACATTTTAGCCGAACGTCAAATTTTTGTATAATAATTTCTTCCTTAGCATCCAGTTCAGTATACAGATACAATTGAAGAGAACTGGCAAGAAACTCAACTGAATTTATTTGTTTTTTTTTAAAAGTCAGGATATTACATTTTTCCTTATATTCTAACACAATCAAAAAAAGTGCGAGCGTACGCTGGTTTAGAATAAAAAAGCTATAAATCCGCTAAATTGTCCCGTGTCCGCTAATTCGAATGAATGGTCTAAACATCCACGTAGCGAAATTAAACTCTCAGAGTAATGAAGTGACCACATTTGTCTTAATTTGGCTGTTAGAAGCTTTATTAGATACGTATTAAGTTGTAGAACTTTGGGGTCGCTATACTTCTAAATGAGATTGTTTGACAGTTCTCGAGGGTATCTACTCGTACACCAGAAGTCAAGTTGCTTGAAGATTTGTTTAGTTTTCTTTATAAATGTTAGTATAGTAGAAATACTTTTGCCCGTTTGTTGTTATTATTTTTTGTCTTCTGGGTGGTGTTTTACATTAGTCAGTGACATATGATGTGAAAACATAATACTATGTACTTTTAGATAATAGTGAAAGTGAATAAAGTTTTTTTGTTTATCATCACATCATCTCTCGTATACCCACTGTGTGGATATTTTAAGACATATTTTCAAGAAGACATCAGCGTGGGAACTTCAGCAACTATTTCAACCGCCAATCAGCTTGCGTTATAAGACTGTGTATCATTGAAATTTCAATATTTGCGTGGGTGTGTATGTTTGTCAAAACATTCACTGCGGTTCGCAGTCTATGTAATGTTTTTTAAGGATTCTTAAAGTATGTTAACTTTTTACACATTTTTGCTTATACATAATAGTAGTACGTACATAATAGTATATATGTATTATGTAGTAATACATATATTGATACATATATACATACACTAAATCCTTAGTTTTAATCTCAAACATGACTATAATTGGAATCTATAACACATATAGCTTTCCAACTATATGTGTTATAGATTCGATGCTACGTTGCATCAGTTAAATGCAAATAATATGCAACATTTCCCGAACTCAGTACTATACAATCTACTGCATCTATTGTCACGCGAAGTGATAGAATCCTGCAAATCATTGTTGAGGAAATCGCAGAAATACGTTTCCAATACGTGTATGTATGTATGTATAGAATGACTATTAACTAGACTGACTGCTGAATGACTAGTGACGGACACGATAGACGTCGTCTTACCTGATAAACAGAGCCACTGGGTTCAATTGTATCTTCAAACCAACCAGGCCCTCATAGAAATAAATACACAAGAATTCATCAATACATACATACATATTGCGTCTAGGTTTTGCTCGCGACTTCGCTCGCTTTAATTTGTACCCTTCGGGGTGGAATTTATCAAAACCTTTCTTAGGGAATGCCTACGTCATAGTAGCTTTATGCATGCAAAGTCTCAGTCCGATCGGTTTAAAATTGACAAAGTTGCATACAAACTTTCAATCCCCTATTTTATCCCTTTGGGAGTAGAATTAATAAAAATCCTTTCTTAGCGGATGCCTACGTCATAACATCTACCTGCATGCCAAATTTCATCCCGATCCGACCAGTGGTTTGGGCTGTGCGTTGATAGATCACTACGTCAATCACCTTTGAGTTATATATATAACGGTTGCAGATGTAACAAACAAGCTTTTGGCCGCTTTATGCAAGAGGCAACCATCCACTATATATGTACATATAATTTATATAATGTTTAAACAATACATATAAAATAACCATATATTCACCATTGCATGTTGTGTCTCACTCGCGACACAACTTTGGCTCAAAACAATAAAAAAACCACTCCCGCTTGGCCAGTGGACTAAGATGCTGCGTTATGCTTTTCATCCTATAATTCCGTCATCATATAATAAATACTCTTCCGTGACCATTTATTTTATCTGCGGAATCATGAATATATTCTAACATTTTTGAATTTAAAATTGTATACATGTATGTACCTACTAATGATCATAATCTGTACAGAAATCTTTTGGCAATGTTTCATATTTCATGAATCGATATTAAAAATTATAACTACTCTAAATTTTTAGCCTTCTACCATTAACCCCTATTTTTTAATTGCGATATATGGGAAAACAATGTTTTACCTGGTCAACTAGTATTTTTTTTAAATTAAAAAAAATATTAATTCCACAGAAAACTCAGTCTTTCGACAAGACGGCGACTCTGTAAGTCGTTTACGTGGATCGTTACTCTGTCTCCCCTAATTCTGCCGCCAGCAGCTTGCTTTGAAAGCTGAGATAAGATATAGCAGTCTTATTACAGTGTGTGAAGATTACAATTTAGATCTCAAGGTACCACATGCACCACAACCCATGGTATTTTTTTTAACTATTTTGCTATAATTTCTTACGAACTATTCTAATATCGTTGCTGTTGGTCGTAGCTGGCATATATAGCACCTAACTAGGTGAGCGCAGATGTCACTCCAAACATGCGTAAGGTTTTATAGAGCGGCTGAAGGTCAACTTTTTTTTTACTTGGAGAAAATATCTCATCCAGTTCCGCCCGCCGCGGGGAAGGTGTACGGTTACTGTGAAACTCCTACTCACTAAAAACTTAAAGGTATCCCAATAAAGCGGCCATCGCCGGTGTCACTGGATTGCAATGACAGAAGGCCAACTCCTGCCTGACGTATACGACTTCAGTCTGAGGGCACTGCTCGAACCTCGGCTCAGGACGTCTTAATTTCGATCCACGTTTGAATTGGACGGGGGGTCGATCGATAGTGTTCTTGTAATGTTGTATAATAAATTACTACTTTGCTTTAGATACATCATTAAATTATTTGTCTGATATGGCAAATAATATGATTAGCCACATAAAAAATGCGAGCCACTATTTTCCTCTATTGTAACTTACATCTTTGTATTTACCTACATAATTCTTCAAATAGATATATTATTGAATAATATACTATTGTTGGAATTGTGTAAATAAATATAATAGGGTTTGCTTTTATCTGTATTGCTGAAAGGAGAATAGTAAGAAATAGAAATGTTGATATTAATTATATTTTGTGTAACTTTACTTACCTTAGCTTACTCATTTAAGCAATTGTTTGAATGTCCATTTCTAATATATAAATATCTTTACTGCTGTATGTCGAATGTATGTACAAGTACGCGTAGGATATAATATTATCTTATCTGTGGTGTATGTACTGTCAGCTTGGAATAATATGATTTGTTATTGATGTTTTCCATCCCCGGAAACTTAGTGAAAACTTTAATTTCATATGTTTTTCATGTTGACCAGATTAGATCTCATATTTTCAGATCTATAGGTTTATATATATAGGTTTACGAGTATATAGCAGTATAGTAAATAATAATAGTGTAACCTTTCAACTGTTAGCTGTCAAAATGACATTGACGTCATGTCTGTGAGACCAATTACAGGACTTCTGTGGAGCATCCAATATTTTTTTAAACTGAGATTTCATAAATTTGTGGGTGCTCCACAGATAGGGC